CTCCCGCCGCCAAGAGGTGACAGGCGAAGACGAATACACCAGTCGAGCACTGCCAGGGTCTGCAACATCTTCAGCAGCAGCAGCAGCAGCAAGAGGAGCAGCAGCAGAAGAGCTAGCAGCACTGCCTGCAGCACCCGGTGTTGGCAGCAGCGGCGGCAGCGCAGCGCTCGAAGGCAGCAAATGGCTCTCCCGCTGCCATGCTGCTTCAGGTGCTGCACTGGGCGCCGTCAGAGCAGCAGCTTGGGGAGCTGCTGCTGCTGCTGCTGCGCCGCGGGGCAGCAGCAGAACGCGCTGCTCCTCGCTGCTGCGGCTGGGCCCGCCTGGTACGACACGCCGCCGCGGGAAGGATTCCGTGGACGGTGCTGCACACCAGCAACAGCAGCAGCAGCAGCAGCAGCAACAAACTTGCAACGAGGCAGCACGAATCGCCTGTAGAGATGTAAGTGCTACTTCTGCTGCTGCAGTTGCTGCAGTTGACGACTCACCTGCTGCGTTGTTCAGTTTTGCACCACTGCTAGTACTAATGACTGCCCTCCGCAGCCGCGCCGGCTGCTGCTGCTGCTGCTGCTGCCCAGCACCAAGTAGGGCAGCAGATGAGTCGGCATATCTCTCAGGCGACGCATAAGGCCGGTAATGCACTTTGCGTCTGCTGCTGCCGCCTCTGCTGCTGCTGCGTCTGCTGCTGCTGCTGCTGCCGCTGCTGCCCCGCCTTTGCCGCTTGGGGCTCCTCTCGCGCTCCCGTGGCTCAGTCTCGATTTCTGCAGCAGCAGGAACGCACACAAAGCAGTTGCTGCTGCTGCAGCAGCAACTAGGGCTGCTGGCTGCAGACAGGGCAGGCAGCGCGCAACTGGCACCAGCAAACAGCAGCAAACCGCAGCAACAACAACAGCAGCAGCAGCAGCAAACCGTCTTTGTAACGCCTTCTGCCTTGGAAGCTGTCCGGCCAATCCGAGGCAGCAGCATCATCGCGGGCCCTCAGAAGAACTCTGTTGGAACTCCTTTCGTGCAAAAGAGCAGTGACGCGCCGTGGAGGCTGCTGCCACTGCTGCTGCTGCTGCTGCTGCTGCTGCATTTTCCCTGCGTCTGCATACTGCGGCCGCGGCTGAAGCAGCACACGCGGCCGGCTGCTGCTGTCTTGGGAAGAGAAATCTGCCTTAGGGCCCCTCGGGGCTTCGCCGTTAACGCGAAACCAGCGCGGGGGGTTCAGCTGCACAGGCCGCCGGCTCCGCATCAGCAGTTGCTGCTGCTGCTGCTGCTCCTGCTCCTGCTGCTGCTGCTGCGGCTGCTGATCTAAAGTGTACTCGTGTACCGGCTCATTCAGGCGCTCGTGGTTCGGATTTACATGCAGCGAAACTCGGGAGGTGCTGTGTGAAGTGCCTGGAAGCCTCTTGCGAGGGTACACGTAGGGTTGCTGCTCTTGCTGCTGCTGCTGCTGCTGCTGTCGGTGCTGCTGGTACTGCGGGTGTGGCCGCGACCTCGTAGCAGGGTTGCTGCAAAGAGACAAGTGCCTGCTGCTGCGGCTTCTGCTGCCTCTTCGAGGAGCAGCAGCGGCTTCGTAGTCGGCTTCGTGGCTGCGGCTGCGGCTGCTGCTGCTGATGCTCGGGTGGTGGCGGTAGCGCTGCAGCGAGCAGCTGCTGCTGCGCCGCGGCTTCTGCACAGCAGCAACAGGGGGAGGGTACCGAGCTCGAATTCACTGGCCGTCGTTTTACAACGTCGTGACTGGGGGGCGGTCGCCCCGGCGCAGAGCAATGGCAGCAGCAGCAGCAGCAGCTGCTGCTGCTGCTGCTGCGTTTACGGCTCGGGCAGTCTCTTCATGGGCGTGCTTGTCAGCTAAGGAGCGCCACCGGCCAGACATCTTGTGACAGTTGCTGCACCAGGCGCTGCTGCTGCTCTTCCTGTTGCAGCCTGCGCTGCTGCCCCAAGGTCACTGTTGATCCCTTTACGTGTGCTGCGTCAAAGAAAATGCCCAGGAAGTCGACAAAGGAAGCTAAAGAGAAAAAAGAATTTGAGTTTGCTGCGGCAGAGCCCGGCCTCAAGATTTCAGAGCCGTTGCCTGCTGCTGCAGCTTGGGCTGCTGTTCGTGGTGCTGCTGTCGCCGGCTGGCTGTCTTGCCGGGTATGGAGGCCGGCACAAGTTGCAGTAACAAGCAGCAGAGCATTTGCATAAAGACAAAGAGTTTTTTTCTAACGAAAGGACTCACCTGATCGCCTCGGCAGCACTGGTGAGAGTAAGCCAGCAGCAGCAGCAGCTTGGGCGGCAGTGGCTGCATGCAGCAGCAGCAGCAAAAACAGCATAGCCAGGAACTGTTAATTACGGGGAAATAATTCCAAGGCTTTGCTGACCTGGTGATCATGCTGTTGAGGAGAACGCTCTAAGGCTGCTGCTGACCCTGCTGCTGCAGCTGCAGCAGCAGCAGCAGCAGACATCTGGGCCTTCTGCTTGGTAGAGGCCGCCTGTCCTTTGGGGCTCCCCCAATTTTTCTTACGAGCCCACTTGTCTCCGCACCCATAGCCAACACCGGCATGTTGGGCATGTTGGGGCGCCTGTGATGTTGTGCTGCCGCTGCTGCTGCTGCTGCTGCTGCTGCTGCTGTGCTGAACTTGCTGCCTGCGCCTCTGCGCCTGCGGCTGTCACCTTCTAGAGGACGCTGGCTCCAGCTTTAGTAATACCACGAAGCAGCGGCAGCTGCACAAGGGCTGGAGGCGGCTCCAACTGCTGTTGCTGCTGCTCTGACTGCTCTTGCTGTTGCTAGGGTCGCAGCAGCTGGCCGAGCACCTGCAGCAGCAGCAGCAGCAATAAGTGTAGCGCGAGCACATGCTGGGGCCGGGCACGGGTCCATTCGGGCCCCCACAAGCTGCCAGGTGGGAAGACGCAGCTCGCGAGAGCTTCAGCGCAGCAGCAGCAGCTTTTGCTGCATCAGCCGTGAAACGAGAAGCAGCAGCAGCAAAACAGCAAGCAGCAAGCGAGTTTCTCTTTGCTTCTTTGCGCAGCCTCAAGGTCTGCTGGAGCCGTCATGTGGGCGTGCCTTGTGGGGATGCGGCTGGGGCAGAAGCAGCAGCAGCAGCAGCTGCTGCAGCAGGCTGGCGGGTTATCTCGGCAGATTTTGCTGCTGATGGCTCTTTGTTGCTAGTTGCTGCTGTGGGCGGGCCCGAGGGGAGCTCTGCGAAACTTCTGTTAATCGATTTGAAAACCGGATGGTAAGATGCGGCAACAGCAGCTGCTGCACCAGCAGCTGCAGTAGCAGCAGCAGCAGCAGCAAGCGCAGCAGCAGCTTAAACAAGCGCACAAGAACCGCAAGAAAAGCGGAAGGTAGAGGCTGCAGGAGAGACAAAAAGGAAGATTTAGGGAGGATATAAACTCAAACATTAGATTTAAAAGGGGTAGCAGCAAATACCAAAATGAGAACCACAGCCAGGCCAAGCTGTAGTGCACGAGAAGCAGAATTGCAGTTCCAAGTGCCGGCGCCGCAGCTTCCCTGGCTCTCCTGCTGCTGTTCTTTTTCCCTCGATGAAGCAAATGCTGCTGCTGCTGCTGCTGCTGCTGTTGCTGCTGCTGCTGCAGCGTGCCCCGGGTGTATGAGTGTCCGGAAGGCGGCGTTTCCTCTGCTCGGTTTGTGGCCTTGTCAACTGCAGAGTGTCTCATTGGGGGCGCTGAAGCTGATGGTGGGACCCCCCGCTGCTGCTGCTGCTGCTGCTGTTGCTGCTGCTGCTGCTGTTGGTTGCTGTTTTGACACTGTTGGCAACCCTGTACATTTCTAAGCTCCTGGAAAGTCCAATTGGCGTTACTAGCGGCCCGTCTGAGCCAATGGCGCAGCAGAAGCCGGCTGAGCAGCAGCAACGTCGGCAGCTGCAGCTGCTGCAGCTGCGAGGGACGTAGCAGCGGTGGTCTGTTTTTGCTGCTGCTGTTGCATCTGCTGGTGCTGCTTCTGCTGCTGCTGCTGTATTCGCCGCAGCGTGCGTCCGTCTGTGGGACTTGGCCGCCGGGCGGCTTGTCTGCCCCTACCCGCTCCCCGTGCCGTGAGCTGTGCTGCAGGCAGCAAAAGTGCTGCTGCGGCAGCAAAGTTGTTCTGTGCTGCTGGCAGCAAAAGTGCTGCCCCGGCAGCAAAAACGTCCACAGCTGAGCAGCCGTAGAAGGAGAGCCAAGAGGCAGCCACAGCGCAGCAGGCACTGCAGCAACAGCGGCAGAGCAGCAACACTGCAGCAGCACTGGCGCAGCAGAGGCAGCAACGCTGCAGCAACACTACAACACTGCACTGGCACAGCAAATAGGCACGAAAACAGACGGACTGCATCACGGGGCGCCCCGTGGACTGTCCCTTTTATCTAGACTCCTGATGGGGCGGTTACTGCTGCTGCTACTGCTGCTGCTGCTGCTGCTGCTGCCCTTGCAGTCTAATAGGGTCTGAGGGCTTGTTGGCGCATCCCCGTCAGCGCCTTTTTCTGGCCAGCTGCTGCAACGCCTCGGTGCTTTTGTTTGACTTGAAGCAGAGCCAGCCGCTGGTGAGGCGCTAGTTTTGTTTGCTGCTGCTGTTTCATTCTATTATCTCTGCTCCGCCTTCTCTGCTGCTGCATGACTCAACCTCGTGGCTTCTGCACGCGTTGCCTTGCGTGTCTGAGGCCCTCGTGCTGCTCTTTTGCTGCTGCTGTTGGCTCTTGTAATGTGCTGTTCCTTCCCCCAAGTCCTTCATGTTGCCTTTTTGCTGCCCCGGGGCTGGCGGTTTCGAAGCAAAAAGCTGCACCTGCGGCAGCAAAGGGCAAGAGGCCGGGGCCACAGCTGCAGCTCTCGGGGCTTCTGTTTTGCTGCAGGCTGTCATGCAGTGCGAGAATCCCCGCCCCGCCATCGCCTTTGACTGGGAAGGGCTGGTCTTCGCGGTGGCCCGTTTCTCCACTGACGTGCGCCTAGTCAACAGCGAGCTGACCGACCTGGTGAGCTTCTGCTGCTGCTGCTGCTGCTGCTGCAGCGTTTGCCGAGCCGGGGCCCTGAATTGATGCTCCCGATTTGGATCCCCTCGGAGAGGTTGCGGCCACTGTCGTGGTGCTTTTTGTTGTGTGGTTGCTTGCCCACTGTCAGCTTTTGAGAGGTCTTCTAAGCTGCTGCTGCAGCCCCTTTTCGTGCTGCTCCTGCGGGTTGATGCTGCTGCTGCTCTAGATGCTGCTACTGCGAGCGGGAACGCAGTGGGGTTCCCGTAGAATACGTAGCAGCAGCAGCGGGTTATGCTGCTGTTGCTGTGTCAGCTGCCGCTTGGGGTGCTGCCGCTCATGCTGTCGTTTGTTGAATTCTTTTCTGTTTCCGGTGGCGGCACAACACAGATCAGGCCTTTTAATGCTATTATGTGTGCTGGTGTGGCTGCAGCAAGAATTCTCCGCATTTGACTTGTCAGCTTCATTGGACCCTGGCAGCTGCATCGCGGTGAGCATTAGTGTTGACAACTTCTTTTCATGTTGCTGTACCCCCACATTGCTGCTGCCTCCGGCTTTGGCAGGAGCTGCTTCCACAGCAGGCATTGCTGCTAGTGCTTTGGATGCTGCAGCTGCCGCGCCTAATAGAGCAGTTTTGTGCGCGGCGGAATATTTCTGCAGAGTCTTTGCTTCAGCCCCGACGGAGAAGCGATTGCTGTGGCTACGAACCGCCACCAGCTGCTGCTGGTGAATGCCTTCGAGGGCACTACGGTCAGTGGACTCCTAACTCCTTAAGCCTCGCAGGGCTCGCCTGCAGCTAGCCATTAACTAGGAACTGCTTTCTGGCTGGCTAGCTACTAGAACAGCTTTATGGCTGGCTAGCTACCCAGCCGCCCAACAGAGCAGTTCCGGGGCTGGTGCGCAACATGCAAATATGCCGCTGGGAGAAGAAGCGAACCCTGCTGAAAAGTTGATGCATGGATAGGCTAGCTCGGGCTACCTAGCTAGCTAGTAACCCAGCAGATCTCAGAAGATCCTACGAACACTGCTTACTAGCTGCTTCCCACTGTGTTTATTGTCAAGCTTGCTGCTGTCACTGTTGCTGCGCTGTTTTGCTGCAGATGGCGAGACTGTGCGAAGCGTCATTCGGCGACTTGTCGAGCGCTTGGCCCTGCACGCCTGCTTTTTCAGGCAACAGTTCGTTGCTGTTTTGGTCTCGAGGCCCCGGCCTCTTGGCCTTTCGGATGCCTCCAGCCACAGACAGCGGCGCGCAGCAGCAGCAGAAGCAGCAGCGGCAGCAACAAACAGACCTTAACACGGAGCTGCTAGTTGCTAGGCATGCGGGCCATTCAGAGCCAGTTTCTATCGCCAAGGCGTCGCCTACTCATGCGCTTGTGCTGACAGGTGAGATGGAAGCCCAAGCTGCCCGACTGCCGGTGATCTCTCTAGATCTGCAGTTAAGTATTTACTGCATTAGGTGATGAAGGAGCTCTGGGCGACCTCTTGCGTACCTTCGAACAGCAACAGCAGCAGTAGCAAACTGCACATGATATCTGTTGGCAGGTTGCCTTTTCCCGTGGTTGCTGTGTGTTCGCTGCAGTGGGTGGAGGTGTCGTTGCCCTGTGGCAGCCGGCAGTGCAGGCATAGGGAGCAGCAGCTGTTACTGCAGTTCCTACCAGTCAAAGCAGCACGGCGACGCATCAGAAGCAGCAGCATGACATCAGAAAGCAACGGGCTGCTGCAGCAGGATTCCAGCGCGGCAGGCTGTTTGCTGCTGCCGCCGCACCATGGCCTTTCGGTATTCCGTGCGAGTTGTACGCATGCCGTTGTCATTGCTGTGGAAGCTGCAGCAGAACCCTAGGTGAGGGTGGAGGGTGCTCGACTCCTGGGAGGCTAAAACTTTGAAGCTGCGGAGTTCTCAGTACCGATGCGAGCAAGAAAACATCTTTGTTGTGTGTAGCATCAAGCTCTATCAGCAGCAGCAGCAGCAACAGCAGCAGCGGCCCAGCAGCAAGAAGCGCTAGAAATGGGAACTGGAGAGGTAGCTATTGATCGTTGCGTCGAATTTACTTTGGCTTGTGTGGCTTTGCATGGAAATGAGTGGGGAGTTCGCAGAAGCAGGTCCAGGCGGTTGCGGTGGGATTTGACTGTGAACGGAGCTACTGCAAGCATCCCCTCTAAATTAGTTTTGACATCAGCATCAGTGCGAAACTGTCCGGTTCACCTGTTGAAGCCCTTCTTTTCGTTCGGCTGCTGCTGCTGCTGCTGCTGCTGCTGCTGCTGCTGCTAGGGCCTCAGGCCACATACAGCATAGATGGCTGCTTGTTCACGCCAGTGCAAACTGCAGCGAGACAGGCCACTGCTTCGGTGGACGAAATACGCGCACCGCTTTCTCACTTTGCCGTCACTGTGGGACTTTGTGGGGGTTAGGGCTAACCACAAACTAGCTTTATTTTAAGTTTTAAACACTTGAAACTGCTTCTACCGAATCTATGAGGCAGTCCACACTGCATAATCGCGTCAGGTATCTGGTAGCCTTTAGGGTATTGCATTATTGCACTTGGTGGGAGGCAAAAGAGCCCGGCAAAGGCAACTCAAAGGCAGGCAAAGGCAACGCGCGCTCTTTTTTCAAGTCTGTTAATCCAGTGTCCTGTTGACGCGCGCAGTCTTTTTTTTACGCCTGTCAATCCAGTTTCCTGCCGGCGCTGCTGTCGGGTCCTGCACACGGTGCCTGTCGCAACACCCCTTTAGGCACAGAATGCCCTGCTAGCCACTGGCTGAGTCCGCCTCTTAGGCTGCGCTCGTATTGAATTGTTTTACGCTAGACGTGACACAGGGAGAGGGGGTCAGGAGAGCACAATCGGACGGACACAGCAAACAAGCAGAAGACACCAAGCCCACAGAGGCGCAGGAAAGCACGGTATACCAGTTTTTCTGAGGAACGCTTCAGATGACGAGCAGGGTGCATCTTGTTCTCCCTTCTTAGTCTTATCCGCATGCATTTAGCCTCCGAAGCACCGCACATAAGTATCCCCAATGCACGGTAGACAGCTTGTGCAAAAGCCTCTTGGCGCTCCTCCCCAAAGCATCGAGAGCGCTCAGCAGACACAACCAACTTCACCGGCTTTCCGACTGCTCAAAAAGCTTATAACCCGGCGAAACAAACAACTAAAGCACCACTGTGTGCTCCTTGAGGTCTACTGTATTCGATCGCGCCTTGTCAGTAATAACTGCCCCAGGGTATCTATACACACCAGACCCCCTTTAGGAGACTCTTGTGCAGTCGCCAGCTTGGCTGGCTATGTCCAGACTTCTCCTTGTTAGGGAGCACTAAATTAGAGGCGGGCACCGAAGAAAGCCAACTCGCGGTTCTTTAGTCCATGCAGCCCTACAAGCTTCCCTCTTTATTCAACTCCTGTCCTAGGCTCTAACCTCCCGAGGCTGAGGCGTGAGACGTTCACTTTTCCCCTGCGGGGCTTGCGCTCGAAAACCCGTGCTCTGCAACTCAAACTTTCAGCAGCAGAAAAATTGATCCCTAAAGAGAGTACGGTCCAGTGCTGTCTTTGCTCTCAAAATAAAGGCACAGATTAAGAGATCCTTACGACTACTGCTTCTAAAGAGCCTATAGGTCTTCTGATGCACTGTGCACCGAGGCGAAAGAGACTCAGGCTCCGTGCTCTACTTGGAGCTTCTCACAGCTCTTGTAAGGATCTAAAGCCGCAGCTGGGTTTCCATTGATTCGGTAGGGCCTATTTGCCCATGCGGTGTGGGGCCGCTGGGCCCCACATAGCTCTGGTGAATCCAGCTTGGCGCCGCCGGTCTTATCTGTGTGCTCTGTAGACCTCTAGGTAGCAGCAGAGAGAGAAAGATTGCTTGAGGTGTTTCCTTCCAAGCGCAAGTGGACGAAGGCTGCGCTATTTCAGAGTGTATGCGGCTGGGGAAGCGCTGCAAGGCAGCAGTGGCTTGTGCGTGCCCGTGCTGCGGGTGAAAGTGGATGCCAAAGATGAAACACAAGCAAAATGAGCTCCCGTGTGCTAAAAATGAGCGGTAAACATGCTAAAATTTCACTAAAGAGCGACCCAACTTCCCGCAGGCAGCGGCTAGCTGGCACGTTAGGACGCGTGTAGGCGTGGATCCCTAAGTGGGTAGCCGTGGTGGTGCTGCAGTGGGGATCTCTCGCTAACTTCAGTGTCAATAGGCGTTGGTCTATAACAACATTTCATGTTTGAGGTTATACTGCATTTGGGAAAACCCAGAGTGTAGGGAAGGCGTCCCGTGCCAATGCTCCATGCCATGTGCAGCAGGAGCAGGCGGCGGGTCCTGAAGATGGCACGGCGCGCAGCGCAACAGCTGCTCAAGGTGTGCGGCTGATATTTACAGATTATGGAATAGAAATTAAATTGCACTTATTAACATATCAACCTGGCCAGGGCTGTAGAAAAGCCTCCGGGGAGTCCTTGCTCCCCCGCCGCCCCCCTCCGTGCCGGGCGAGTTCGCGCACCAGACCACCCAACGGTGCACCCCAACGAGAGAGGGGCTGTTTATTGCAAGGGCTTTTGTGCGTTTCCGCGTTACTTCACTTTGTTTCCTTGTGGGGGACCGTCAAACGAAGCCACTACCTCAGTAGGGGCAGCTCTCTCCTTAGGCAACCCCAGGAAGCTGCAGCTATCGATAGGCCCGGGCGGAGCCGATCTCTCTGAGGGGGGGCGTTGGTTCTTCCGTTCGTTGCTAGCCGAAATAGTACCCTCGTGGAAGTCCATTTGTGCCCTTATAAGCCTGCAAAGGAGAAACCCCAGCACTGCTACTGCTTCTCTCGCTCAAGGGGGCCACGCCTCTCCTCCCAGGAGGAGGACTATTGGAGGCGCAGCACCACTGACCCCCTTTGAAGCAAAAGCCAGTGCTTCTGCCACATTAATTCGACTCAAGCTACTTCCTTGATCCCAGTAACCAAAAAGAAGGAAGGCCTTCAACCCGCTCGCCAGCTGCTGCCGGTGCAGCTGGGGCTACCACAGCAGCAGCCACAAGGCAGCTGCAGCTCAACGCCAGTCAATCACAACAGCGGCAAAAAAAGAGCAGCTCTGAGACCAACAAATAATGGCCAATTCGGGACTTTGACGTTAGCCTGCGACGGTGGTGCAGCTACGCCGTCACTGTATGCGTTCAGCATTTACGTAGAGCTAGCGTGTGTATTTAGCGCGTTTTGGCTACCTCAGGCTTAGCATTCCAAGCTCTCCTTGCTGCTCCGCTGTGGTCCTTTTTAACCCCATTGCCGTGGGATTTCACGATCCCAGCTGTCTGAGTTTGAGTAGTACGAGGATGAACACCACGCGCAGAAGCCCCGTGCAGCCGTTCTAGGGAGCCACGCAAGAGCAGGGAAAGCGGTAGCAGCAGCAGCAGCAGCAGCAGAAATAGCGCGAGGAGCAGCAGGACTTTATTCGCACCTTTTCTTCCCGGGTAATGCTGGCTAGCGGGCATCTCCGACTGGGTCCACCCAGCCCAACCCGGAGCCCTGGGGAAACCCCAGAACACCCTGGAATGGAGGATGGAAGACACCATGGGGTTGCCTCGAGGGGGGCCCCGGGCGCGGAAGTTGAGGGCGGCGGCTGCGGCATTTGGTGGTCCGCAAGTCCCCAGACGCTTTCGTCCTCCGCTTCGCTGGAGGGGGCCCCTACTCAGACGCCTGGGGGTGGCCCCCTTTCCCCCACGGCAGCTGCTGTGCCGTGTTCCCCTCACTGGGGCTCAGGCTCTAAACAGATGGACTTAAGTTCAGACCAACGCCTATCTCTCTTGAGCACAGCGAGCGATAGCACTGCTGTTTCTATCCTGACGGGCGCCCGGCCTAGTTCTCCTGAAGGGCTCTCTGGGGGCCCCCCAAGGGGGTCACCTTCTTCTCTAAGCCAGGAGATGCCTCTAGGGGAGGAACAAGGCAGGCTGGAGAGCCCAGGGGCTTGCATGCGATCTTTTCACAGTGCCAGCTACCAGGAAAGTCTGTCGCACTCATTTTCAGAGTTGCATCAGCAGGTTGTGGTGCTTGCGTCCGATCAGAACCACCGCCATCCGCCGCAGGTGCAGCAGAACCACCCGCCGCTGCAGGAGCAGCAGCAGATGCAGAGCTGTGTTTCTGCAGCAGCAAACTGCGGCCTCACCAAGCAACAAGTACCTCACCTTGTCGCTTGCGAAATTGAAGACAGCGAAGAACGAGACTCTTCTCAAGACAAGCTCGCCCAGGTGGCCCGTCTTTGCTTTGAAGACGGAACGTATGGTGGTCGTGCCCATCAGCAACTGAAGGCACAACTGCAGCCTCAACAGCACCAGACGCAGAACCAAGGCCTCCGCAGCTGCCTCTCTGTCCCTTCCAGCCAACCAAAACGTAGTAGGGACACTGCCGCCAGCCATTTTGCCTTCTTTGGGCTGATAATTTGATGCTGCTACTATCCGCTCCTCCCTGAATTTAATTTCCATTGATTTTGCCATTTTTCTTGTTACTGCTTCATGGAGGCACGCATTTTTATTTCTCTGTCTGTGCTGCTGCTGCTCAGGAGAAGACGAGCTACCAATTGCACCAACATCACCTGATTCCGCGCAGCAGCAGCAGCAGCCGGGGTCTTCATGTGGCGGCGACGCCAACAGCGAAGGGTTGCTGAGATTTTCAAGCGACTCTGTAGTGGATGCGCTTCTCTCTCTATTGCAGCAACGCCCAACTGAACAGCAGCTCGACTTGCAGCAGCAGCAGCAGCGGCAGCAGTTGCTGCAACAGCAGCAGCTCGCCCTTGCGTCTCGTTGCTGGGATTTACCCACGACGGGGCACGCAGTCGTTGAACAGAGTTTGTCTCCTGCCGATGCCCAGCGGCGAGGAAACACACTGCATCACCTGTCCGCTGAAGGAGGCGCCGACGCATCTGAGTCCCCGTTGCTTCTGCTGAAACAGCAACAGCATGAGGATCCACAGCAACAGCAGCAGCTGCATCCGGGGCAATATGATACCACAGACATGCGAGAACTCCACCTAGCGGAGCAGCGGGCAGTCCCGCTGCTTCGTCAGATGCTTGGGGATGAAAGCGACAGCAGCGCCCTTCCAGGGCGCACCGAGACAGTACAGCAGGGGGCCTTTCAGCCACAGGCCGTTTTCCAGCTACTTCAGCAGTTTGGGAACTGTGGAACGATGGCTCAAGTCGCTTTGGCTTTGCAGCAGCAGCAGCAAGAGACAAACATCAAGCGCATCGCGGAAAGCCTTGGCCTGCTGGACTTCAGCGACAAGAACTGCAGCAGTGGTACAGCAGGCGCTGCGGGATCCGATATATCTGCTGCCTCACTTGTGAACCAGGAAGAGAAGCAGCAACAGCCCCTGATGCTGGATAGGGAGCAGCAGCTCATGATGATGCGCACATCCCCAAGAAGAGCAAGCGAGACAGCGGGAGAGTGCCGGGGGAGTGGAGGGGGCCGTCAGCGGCGGCGTAGGGAGAGGCGGAAGGAGGGACGATATTCTGTACCACCTGCTTCAGGGGTAGATTTTGTAAATTCATTTGTGCTTGAAGCACCCAGTCTCCAGCGCCTCTTCACAACCCCTTAGTTCCACCTTCAAGTCTGCGTTTGCATGCATTTTTTCGACATGGCACTAGGTGAAGCGTAGCAACCCTGCTGTAATGTAATCTTCACATATTAGGTCTTTGCATCCAGAGCTTGCGTGCGGTGTGTGCCGAAGCTTGAGGGGACAGCGCTATCATCGAGCTGCAGCTTACTTCTAGAGGAGTGCAGACTCAACGCAAGGGATCTCACCCCCCAGGAGCTGAGTTCAGTCCTTGTACGTTTTTCTCGCTGCTGTTTCTACTGTCTCCAGTGCTGCACTTGCTGCTATAGCACCTGTTCTTGCGGAAGATGTGGCATTTATTGTTGGCTTTACGTTTGTTGCCGCAGCTGGAGTTCTCCACCAATGCCTTGGGGTCTCGAATCATTGTGCAGTTGCTTGACAACACAACAGACGATGCCAGGCGGCTGATGCTGACACAGTTGCTGCCTCACGTCCGTAACCTCGCAGCAGACATGGCTGGCAACTTCATCATACAGAAGCTTCTCGACATCTGTCAGTCGGAATGCTGGTGACGATTAAGCTGCAGCGTCCATCCTTTATTTCATGTGCCGCTGTTGCAGCACAACCGTGCAGTTGCATTTGCCCAGCTCTTTCAGCCGCAGTTTCTGCTATTTTCTTTGCTAATGCTGAGCCCAAGGCCGAAGCTGGGCACTAGCTTGAGAGAAAGCACGCCATCGGGGGATGCGACTACTTTTGCTGTGATCAGGCCCTCCTGAAGAAAAAAAAATGCTGCACGGCCAGCTGGTGAAGGACGTTTTGAGGCTCTCGCTGCGCACTTACGGTTGCCGCGTCATACAGAAAGCACTTGATGTTAGTTTCGAAACTGTAGCTTCCGTTTCTGCTGTTGTGGCTGCTGCTGCGTTTATGGGCTGCTGCTGTTGGAATGCACCGGAAACACTTCACGTGCCACGCACAATGCAAACGTACTTGCGTTGCTTAGATAAAAAGGGTCAAATCTAGCCAGTCAGCACTCTCAGCTGCTCTGTTACTGCAGAGTTGATGGTGTTTCTGGTGTTTCTGGTCTCAGGTTCTTGATGACGAGGATAGAGTGGCTGTCGCCAATGAGCTCCATGGCAACGTGTTAACTTGCATTGGCGACCAGAATGGTAAGCTTGCTGATTTTTCAATCGTTTTTCTCCGCTTCGTTGGAAGTGTCGCAGACTAAGCACCTTGCAAAGTGTACGCCGTCTCCTTGTGTCTAAATTATTTGCTATACATGACCACTGCTTTCCTTGTATAACGCAAACTCACACAGTGAAGTCTTAGCTTGTTGTGCATTAGGATTGCTGTGACTTCTATTAGGAAATCATGTCATACAAAAGTGCATCGAAAGACTTCCTAAGGGAGGCGCCCAGTTCGTGCTGGACGCCATAGCCGGGCAAGAAGCAGCCCTTGCGTCACACTGCTACGGTTGTCGAATAATTCAAAGGCTGGCGGAGGCTTGCGACATAAAACAAATTGTCAGCAGATTCACAAACGAAAAATTTACAGATACAACTCCTTTCAATTCTTCCGTTTGTCTCCCCGTTTTCGATTCATTTCACATGACGAAGAGCTCTTCCCGCCACTTTCGCCTCACTTATTAATCCTGGTTGGCTTCCGGGTCTTCACAACTTTCTCCAGCGCTTTTTCTTGGTGTGCTTGCAGTCGCCGATGCTAGATGCTGTGATGGCTTCCCTGCGCTCTTTGGCCGAAGATCAGTTTGGCAACTACGTCATCCAGCATTTGCTGGAATATGGCAGAGAACAAGACAAGCAGTAAAGCAGCACCGCTGCAGGAAAAACACAGATGGTTGAGGGCAGCGAGAGCACGAAGCAGCCGCAGCAGTGGCATCAATAGGGGCAGGGACGGAAAAGTTTCTCGTTGTGTATACTTTGCGTATTTTGTGGTAGCTGCAGAGAAACACGAAGCTTCCGAGGTTTCAGTGTGCCCCTATAACGCACGGAATGTGCATTACTGCCTTCAAGAGACTGGCCTGTTTTGTTTGTGTACTTTCTTGCTGCCTTCAGAGAAATCGTGGCATTGCTGAAAGCTAACCTCTCCAAGCTCGCTACCCAGAAATACGCATGGTACGCCATGATTGAACTTTCCGCTTTTGTAGAGCTACAGTGGCCCACCTGGCGTGCATGGGGGCCGTAAACTGCCACTGTGCCTAGTAATAAAGCGTATGTTGTATGTCTCAAAATTGTCGTACACTTGAAAGATATCGAGTTGCTGCGTTGTGTGGTCCTGCGACTGGTTGCAGCAATGTTGTGGAAAGGGCTTTAAGCCTTAACACACTGGGCCGGGCCCAGTCCGAGTTAATTGGTGTCGCTTTGCAGCCAGACCCCCAGTGAGTAGTTGTCAGGTGGTGCGCTTTCAGTGTTCGTGCATTATTTGCGTAGTCACCACAATTGGCTGTTACAAGAACTCACTGAGGGTTGGGCTAGTGTAAGGATTGTGCAAAGCCACAGTATGCCAAATGGCGTGTGGTTGTGTTTGAGTGTACTTAGAAATGGAGCACCTGTAACGGCTCTGATGCTCGACCGGTACGGCAACTATGTTGTCCAGCGTATGGTGGAGGTAGCAGAGGGACAGCAGCGGGAACAGCTCTTCCGACGCCTTCTCGAGCAGCTGCCACTTCTCCGAAGCTGCACTTACGGTGAGTCATACCTGATTGGCGTGCAGAAGAACTTGAGTAAACCAGTGCCTGCGTTTTAATGTTAAGTACCCTGAAGAGGCCTATCGCAGCTATCATGACAAGCACAATAAGCTTTCACGTGCCACCCGTGGCCCTATCGGAATTGGTTGTGTACATTTTTGTATTTGCAGGAAAGCACATCGTTGCTGCCTTGGATCGCCTTGATATTAGCGGCGGCTGTTCTGGTGAGGTGCCGGTGTCTACACCGGTCGGCAACGCGGCAGCGGCGGCGCTTCCAGTAAGGCGACGCGGGTCAACACTGCAGCCGCAGCATCAACAAACAGCACTTGCCTCTCCAGGCCGGCGCAGGACTGTGCCCCAAGAGCAACGCAGCCAGCGGCAAGGACGGAAGCAGCAGAAGCAGCAGCAGTCGTCTCCCCGAATGGGAGCCAGACCAAAGGCAACGAAGAATGAGGGAGGCCCACAGGAGACCTTTGACGGACTTCTAGACCGCAGCCTTCCTAAAGGATGGCGCAGCTCAAGGAAAGCCGCAGGAGTCCAGCGCAACCTTTCCGCTACGGCTCCTGCGGGAGCAATGCAGCAAAAGCAGCAGCAGCAGCTGTTCATGTTGCTGGACGGGCGGCGAGAGTCAGCTGAAGGAAGTCCTGCTGCGTACAATCTCGGAACGAAAGGCTCCACAGCAATGGCAACAGCTGCTGCACGGCTGCTGTTGACCGACACTCCGCAACAGGCTACTGCAAAGCAGAACGTGGCAGGAGTTGAGGGTCTGGGTCTCTCATCTGAGTTGCCTGTCAGCCCAACGCCTGTCGGATTCAAGGACCAGGGGCCTTCTGGCGATGTAGTGACGGAGCCCATTGTGCTCGGAGGAGTTCGTAGTAGCGGAAGCTCCGCATCCACCAGCAACAATTCCCTGTCAGATCTGCTGGGAATATGGGGGGGACATCAGCAGCCTTCTCTATGCAATAGTGCAGATGGCCGGAATCCTGCAGTGCCTTTTGAAGGACCCGTAGGCGAGCAAACGGACGGTCTTGCAGGAAGGCAAGATGAATGGGAATGGGGGAAAACTCCCCTGTTCTTCCACCAACCTTCGCCCCCAACTTGGTGACCTTCACGGCCGTTGAGGCAGCTGCAGCAGCTCCAGCGTCAAGTGTAGAAGATGCAACAGTAGCTACTGCGCTTCGCCGTGACAAATTAATAGATCCAGCTGCATCGCAGCTTCAGCAGCAAAAGCATTTGCCGAACTACAGCGTTTTTCAATGAGGCAACAATGGAGAGTTGAGAAAGAGCGGCAACCCCAGCGTAGGCTGTAGCAGCTGCGGAGGCAGCAGCAGCAGCAATGGACTGAGAAGCCTGTTTCGCCATGTACCAACAGCAGCTGCCCCTTCTATACGGCTATAGCAGAACCAGCGAGACAGGCATTTGAGGCTGTGCGCCTCAGTTCTTCAGACTGTTCGATCACAGCGTAAGAGAGGTTGAATCTACAGGCGCTTCCAGAACAGGTGTAGATTCCGACGAAGGTGGCAGTTGTGGCTTGCCCTTCTAGGGACTGGACAGTCACAGCATGTGTGGGGAGCCACTACGTAGCGTACGGAGCCTTTTGCTCCCATACAACTAATTTCCGTCAGATGAGTCGCCGGAGGAGGCCTGTAAGGGACATATGCCCTTAAGGTGGCCTAATGTGTGCGTCGCCAACAGAGCCAGAAGGGCCCGGGGGAACAGACAACCACGGGGACAGGGGTGCTAGCTTCTCAACCTAGATCTACCACCAACATGTTCTCTGTGTATATCTTGTGCCGGTCACCATGGATCAAGGCAAGCTTGTTGAGGCCACACTAGCACTACCACTGGCAGCAAATCCAAGTGCTGCTAATGATGGTGATGTACTTTCCCGACTCCTATTGAAATAGTACCTACTGCTTGTCCCACTAATTGCATTGTTTCAAGTGCGAGTTTGTCTTACTGGGCGTGGAGACAGCAGGTGCTGCGCCCACCGCGCCATACCAGCACGCCCACCCTTGCACACCTGGTTTTTATTGAGCGAAGTATACCCTTTGTTGAATCTTGTGTAGCGACCGGCCCCGGCGATACAGGGGTCTTGTGTGTTCCTGCATGATCTCCACCGAAAGTGTGGATGACATGTGCCATGTAGAGAGCAGCAAAAACGCTGCTTCATCCCCTTCTCTTGTGACATCCTATCTTCAGCAGAGGTGTCCTGCATCTAGAAGCAGCAACCAGGCCAGCGAATGACCCCAAAGCCCACGACGGTGGAGCGGTTTTCTATCGTTTGCCTCTCACCCAGTCGCCGCCTCTTATGAACGAACTCAACAACAAACGGACCCGCGTCGTCACAGCAGTGCTGTGCCTCCAGAAGTGGCTGCAGCTGTCGACAAGGGATGAATGTGTGCCTGTAAGATTCCTTCGTGCATGCACTCCGGCGCGAGTTGGAATGCGCTGCCAGAACGCAGGAGTCATACAGGTAGTGGCAGCATCCCGCTGGGATGCAAGCCTTCCTTTGCTTGAGGGGCAGCGGCTTGAGAGGTTTTGCAGCGCGGGCAGCCAAAGTGCAGCCGTCTCTTGTCTAACAATGTGGCCTCTGGGCGAGAAAGTAGCCCTCTTTGGAAGTGTTAATTTGAGCCCTAGGTAGCTAGCTGGCGAGCAAGCTAGCTAGCCGGATGGCTCTCCACGTAGCCCCTGCTCTATAGCTCTCCCGAAGGCGCTGCGCATTAAGGGGGGCGGGGAGGACTCCAGTAGAAGTGTTTCCGGGGGGGCTCTCAGACATCCACGTCGTCAGAAAGGGGCTGCACGGTAGCGGTGCTCGGCGGCATTGGGGATACAGGCTGAACTGGACATATGAAGACACCCGGCGAGATGATTCCTTCACAGACAGACGAGGAGGAAACCATTTGTCAACTCTTCCAGCTGGAAAGGACCACTGGCGTGAAGACACAGGAGACGAGGGCACGGAGCAGCGAAACTGATCAGGTGAAGATGCTTCATTTGTGCATACATGGAAGTGCACGCTGAGAAGCCTTAGCAGAACGGCGACAGCGTTTGGCTAGATGTTGAAAAGTTGTGTGTGCTACATGTTCAAAAAATTGCGTTTTCTTCGAGTTCCTGCGGCTACCACGTGCCGTAGCCGTGTGACTACGAGGCGCCTCATCCCGCTTATTGTGACTTGGCGATAGATGTGAGCTATTCTTGTAGATGACGTGTGCGTCTAGCAGTGGTGAGGCAGTTGAAATGTATGGTCGTTGAAGCCTCACCAGACCTACACAGACAAGACTGCAGGGCGGAACAGTCGACGTACACTGCTTCCTTTGAAGTAAAGATTATTTCCTTCAATATGAAGTGCATTTTGAAGAGCATTTTACTATCCCTATTAGACCAGAAGCAGCTCGTCGAGAGCATGGGCTGGCTGCTAGGGGCGAGCTACGTCTCTTTTAAAACTGTAACCTTATCCATCGTAGGTGGTCACACGGTTGCCAAATATAGCAGAGTGGGGCGGATTCCGGGCTTCGGCTACTACTGGAGACACTCAGATGAACTAGCTGCTTAGGTCACCCAGACATGGTACCCTAGGGGACATAAGCCTCGCCAAGCAATAGCAGCAAGGCGTGCCCCAAAGTCGCTGTCGGCTCAGTTTTCACGACCGCAGACAAGGATGTAGATTTTGAACTGCCGCAAAATTGGAAGATTTGGGGTTACATAACCGTGGAAAGCAAAGTACGGCTCCAACGCTCACCCGTACAGCAATGTTGTCTGCGTGCATCTCGGTGTTTACACCGAGTCCAATCGGAAATACCAACCATTTAAAAAAGGGAATTAAGCCGAATTTTTTTTCTTTTCAAGATTCGAGGAAGGAACTTCAAGCCTGTCAGGCTCCTACGAAGACCATCACACTGCTGTCGGCTTCTTTGACCAGCTGCCAGCGCAGGCACCAATCAGTGGAAAATGCAAGCAGCAACTAGCGACGAGTAGTTTGACCCTTTCGCTGTTTGTCTATGGGTTACTGAGTGTGCAAAAGTGGTCTGTAATGCCTCGACGGCAGCATGATTCCCAGTGTCCGCTCAATACCCCACATTATGGGCCGCGTGTGCTTGTGATGCCGCGGAAGCCTTTACTCTTGAATTGTTAAGATACGAATTCTTCGTAGGGGTCAAGAGAGACGGGTTTGACTGCGACTTTGGCCGCGGGAAGGCGCTGAGACAAGCTCAATGAACGGCTAGCTTGAAGTGCTCATTCAAAGCGATATGGACCCCAGCGCGTTCCGTTTTGTGATATCGAGGGCCCTTGGCGACTAATCTGCTTCTTTTTTTCAGGACCTGACGTGCGTAGCGACTCCTTGGGGGCGCTAAGCACAGTAATCGCGTGGCGGAAGTCAACCGTCGCTAGGGCTTTCATATACCCTTCAAAACGGCGAACACGGTGCACTTATGAGCTGTCTTCAATGACTTTGGCTGGCTTCTGGCTAAATGAGCAGCGCACGCGGAAACAGTATGTAGAGGGGCAGAGGCGTGAAGCAGCATAATATCTTTGGTAATGGGGCCGCCTCCAGATACACAGCAAGGACCAGCAAACCCGACTAACGCTTCTTCGGACTGCTCTGTCGCCCCAACTAGCTGTGCGCCCTACATCAGCAGCAGCCGCAATGTAGTTTCCAGCAATGAGGCCGCAGTTAGCTTGGCAGCGGGAGCTGCAAGTTCTGAGCGCAGCGGCCAGAGCCTCGAGGGCCCGCCACGACAGCGGTGCCCACGCCGCGAGCAAAGAGGAAGAAACGCGAACACAACGGAAAGAGCAGGCTCTGCATCTTGTGACTACAAAGGCAAGCTGCAGAAGCGGCACACGCAGAATGGGTGGACGCCTGCATTGCCCCAGAAAGTGAATCCTCTTGGGGGATATGGAGGATGCGACAGCGGGAGCGGTGCGCAGGCCACTACCCCAACAAGAGCAAAAAATGTAGCTGCTGCAACAACAGCAGAAGCAGCAGCCGGCAAGGAAAAAGCGAAAGATGAGATGAACTCTTTTCAATGGAGGTCCCGTGAGAGTTTTTCCTGCAGGGACTTTGACGCCTCATCTCCGTACTTACCAATATCATATTTGGGGAGAGACGCTGTAGGGCGCGTTTTCCAGTGTATCGAAAAGTCGACCGGGGACCGGGTTACAGTTAAAGTGGTATGTTGAGTAATGGAGATATTGCCCGGCCGTCTTTGGCGACAATTTTTGCTTGGTAGAGGATAGTTTCTGCAGCCCAGTTGCGACTGCTGCAGTTGCATAGAAAACCGTAGCATGTTTGTGTGAACACGCGCTCTGCAGCTTTTCCTACGCCTAGTCTTTTCTACTTTTTGCAGCAGCAGTAAGGTCATTGCTGCTGCATACTGCAGTCCATACGTACTATGCTGCGTGCATTGTCCTGTAGGTTTCAAAGCGCCCATTGCAGTCTCGCCATCGTCTACGACGGCAAGTGTTTGTAGAAAAGGAGACCTTGTTGTCTTTAAGCTTGGGGGGTCACTCTTCGCATCCTAGCGTGGCTTATCTGAGGCAAATTTACCAGACAGAAGAAAACTTGTACTTCGTGCTCAACTATACGGGCTGTGTGCGTCTGCGAGATGTGCTGAGACGCCTGAGCCGCGCGGGAGTCAGTCTCTCTATTGGGGCTGCAAGGCTATGGGCAGCCGAGATAGTGGCGGCACTTGCTACGTTACGGCAAAAGGGTGTGTTGCACAGAGACATCCGCCCAGAGAACATCGTAGTGAGCGAGCAGGGGCACCTCACTCTTGTCGATTTTTACTCTGCGCTGCACCTTGTCCCGGGGACGCAGCAGTGGCAACAGCAGCACGAAAAATTAAGGGAACAAGAAACAGAAAGGCAGGGGCAGCAGGTATTTAACATGCACAGACACGAGCAAAAGCAAGATAGACACTCAAAACAACAGCTTCAGCAGCTGCAGCATCGCAGTACGGTGCACCAGCGAGAGCCGAAAAGAGTTGGGGGGCTTTCATTTTCGTCGAGCTCGCAACGTTTTTACCGCAACTCCAGGAACGGTAAAAAAAGGTATCAAAGCGAACCAAGTCGCTTGCAGGTTAACCTAGAAATATACAGCCGTCGGCAAACGGCTGTAATTTATCCATATGCCGTGGTGCCTGGCTACGCTGCACCTGAGGCGTCTGTTTCTGTCGACTCTGATGGCGATTCCGTAGCGCAATACGATTTCGGATGCGGGTACGGGACAGACTGCTGGTCTCTAGGGTGCCTTGTGCACGAGTTATTGGTTGGTGAGCCGCCCTTCAAAAGCGTATCATCCACGGCTGTAGCCCAGGCACTCTGTGGATATCATGAATTGTCTCTGACGCAACAGATGCCTGCGGCTGCAGTGGATTTTATAAAATCACTATTGCGACCAAAGGAGGAAGAACGATTGGGATCCAGGGACATTAAGGAGTTACTGAAACATCATTTTCTCGAAGGAGTCGACTGCATGGCTTTACATTTTCAGCCTCTTCCACTGGACGTGATGCAGTATGATTTCGCCTTCCAAGGATTTGGACATTCTTGCCGTCTAGGAGCAACAGCGGCAAAGTGCGATTGCACAGTTCCCGTAGAGCGTGAACATAATGCGGTGAGAGCAGCTGCCTCAGCAGCAGGTACTCCAAGTGCCCTGGAGACTCCGGTTACGTCGTTATCAGGCAGCTGTGTCTCCACTTCGAAATCTATAGCATCTGATGCTCCACAAGCATGTTTATACCCCCAAAACAACGAGAGGTGCATCCGCAGCGGAGGACAGCCTGATATTGTACCCATATCACCTATAAGAAACTATAACTGCAGCAGGACGGGACAGCAACTGCAAATCCTTCCTGGGGAGATGTTGGATCAGGGAACGCCACTTGCTCCCAGTTGGAGCATGAAAAGTGGTAGAGGGTGCGCAGAAAACGCTGGCACCCATCAGCAACAAGAACTCACGGGCGCTCTGTTTCTTCGGCATGACGTGACAGAGGAGCCTAAAACTGTTTGCCGTCGTGCGGTCACGGAGGCAGTGCTCGGTTGGGGTCCTCCCTTGCGCCTTCGTCCCATCTCAAGCGCAGATTATTTAGAGGAAAATACTGACTGCCCTGGTGCAGCCACAGAGGAAACAGCAACATGGCGAAGCATAGGTACCAAGGATAGCATCAGGAAGATGTCCGAAGCAGCTGGTAGCAATCTTCCTCCCGAAAGCCAGCGATCATCTGGTTTGATGCTTAGCCGTTTAAGAGGGGCTGATCAGGGGCGCCTAAGTGGTTCATTTCCTGTCTCCCAGGAAGCTCCGCCGTATCTGGCAAAGTGGTTACTGAAGGGCGAGAGATTGCACTGCCATGGCGTCTTGTTGCGAATGCGCGGTGAGAAAGGTTCTTTGATATCTATCGCATACGTAGGAGACGCCCACAAAACGACGAGCAGCGGTTGCTAGTTTTGAGTAATATTTGCATTCGCCATATTTGGTCTTTGGAGCTTCCGGACGAGTGTGCCTGTTGTAGCCTCTTCAGCAGCGCGTCTAGGATGAATGCACTTGTTGTGATGCTGTATTGAATACAGAACATCGGAGCTTGTGTGAACGGCTCTTCATCCGGTTCTTTGGGGGTGATCACAAAAGGAACTGCCAGTTGCAGCCGCAGCGCTGCATCGCCTTATTGACGGACGCAGGAAGGCTTCTACTCTTGGATCCAAACGCAAGAACTCTACGCGTACGTCCACGCACACAGACAGAAAGACGAACAGATAAAAACAGGCCTTGATATGTAAGGTATTCCGGGAGCTGTAAAGGCCTAGGGCGAAAGCAATCATAACTTTTGTGAGCATACGAGAGGTCAATGTGAGGCAGTGTGAATACTCAAACGCTGCATCGGTTCCCAGCAAGAGTGTATCCACCGCAAGTAAGGTCAGTGCACCACTGAGTTGCTTGTCAGAGCGTGCCTGCCTGTTTGTTGAGTTGAATTTTTTGGATTCGCAGAAGACAGTCGTCCTTGCAACTGATGGTGAGATATATACGGAGGGGAAAGACATGCTCATTTATTCCAGTGCAGGAGACAACTGCTACTTGCTTTTCGCATCAGAGGAAGACACTGCCGCTGCTTGGGCTAGATCTCTTGCTATATCCATTGAAGTAGGTCTGTTCGTTTTCGTTCCTGTCTTCATTTCGCTTTATGCCGGCGCTTTCTGCGTATTAGCGTTGACAGAAGGGCCTGTTGCTTCCCCTTGTGCCTGAACCATGACCAGCGCTGGCAGCGCTTTGTTGCGTGCAGAGCCTGCGGTCTAGAGCAGCGTATTTTAGATCTAAAGGAGCGGTATGCAGTCTGCGAGGAAATACTGACGTCTTAACCGCTGCCTCGGTGGAGCATTCATCGCGGGGCAAGGCTGGTTCATTGTCAGCCTCTCGAGTGCAGGACAAAGGAGCTCCTGTCTCGCCGTCTTCGAGTGATGAGGGTGCGGCACGACAAAGTAACTTCAAAGGCGAACCTTTCTCCAGCGAAGGCGCGTCTGTACCGACAGCTGCCACTCCCACTGCACCACAGAATACAGACCCTTGCAGCAGCGGATTGCATAGTCCTCAGCACCCCATGGGGTGGCAGATGGAGTTGACCCGCTATCGCCGGGGTAGCGTTAGGTTGGCTTCTTCGCCAGCATGCTCGAAGAATCATAGGGCTCGCCGTCCGCTTTCGGAGGAACCCCACTTGCGCAATTCAAGCTGCGGGTAAGGCCACGAGGCTTGACGGACCTACAATGGTGATTCAGAGGAGAGCAGGAACGCTGACGGCGAGGTTGCACGCTTTTGATGTGCAAGCGCTTTGAGCGGCCGACGTGTTGCTTGCCTTCTTCCTGCTTACTTATGTGACGTCGGCGTCGGTTGTTTAAATTATTCCCAAGAAGATTAAAGCGTGTGCTGCGTTTTAGCGCTGTGTGGCTGCGAATGTCGCAGGGCGAAAGGCAATGCCTAGAAAGTGAACTCAAAGAGCGCGCACTGTCGGGCAGCTGGAAAGGAAATAGAGGATGCGGTGTAATTCATAGCCTACTGCGACACTGTACTGTGTACACAGATGTTATAGCAAAGTAGCCCGTTGGAAGAAAATGCCGACCATACGCTGCAGAGTGACCTTCAAATGCCATTCCGCGGCGGCGCATTCGGTTTTGAATCGGGGAATCCACACATTGCAGCAATGTAGAGTATGTTCTGTATTGCTTTCTTGCATATCAGCGTGGGAAAGTGATGCATTTTTCAGTTGATGTGGAGACGATGCTTGCACGCAATTGGACTAACTATAATTAGACCTTTCTCGTGTGGTCTGTCAATTTGCACGCTGTAGGACACAGTTGAAAGGAACTAGGTGGCAGAATAGCTGCCCAGATTGACCAATGTTCTAGCAGATTTTTGGCCTCTCTGAAACGGCGATATTGACGTTGATTCCTTTTCTGATTTTAGTGCGTAATCAAGGCCGTGCCGCCGGTGAATCAAGATGAATTTTGACATATTCCCGCGATTTGCAAATTTGGTAGACAGTTACACGATTTAAAAAATTTCCACACGGCTGTTTTTGCGTTGGTATTGCACGTTGCTTGTTGCGCCTGATGCTATGAAGTTTCGCAATGAACTGCATGGCCACTGTTAGCGATCGCCCAGTTGGTTTTAGTGGACGAACACCTGTTCTGTGGTAGAAGGCGAGCCATCACCTTGTTAGTGGTGTTTGGTTTATCGCGTACGACCTGAAGTTGGTTGAGTCTAAGTTAAACTGCATCTGACACTTAGCTCCTCACTACGAATGAGCAGTCCAACAAGGTAAGGTGTTCCCACCAGAGTTTTGACAACGGCCTTTTGCCATCTATTTTCAACACGCTGCGAGCGTTCAGCCTGCGCCTATTGTTGTTCCTGACGCTCTTTCCTGTCAGCTGCAAGTTTTATAACTGGATAGGGCATGGCTAAAGACTGAGCAAACAAACGCTTCGGGCAGGCAAACCCAATTTGCAGGGGAAGGCGTACTCACTATGTTTACGCATCACTTCGACAGGGGCACAAGGTCTAATTAAAAACAAAGATACCTTTGCATTGGAATTGATGCCATAGCGAAGGGACGGACAGAAGTACACTCAAATATGTACAGTTCGCTATTAATTCTGGTACCTGGAGCACACACTGAACAGGGGACCATATGGAGGCGGCAGTGCGTGCGCGTCACTGCTAGACTTTGCTCATCGGCGACTATAGTTTATTTGAAAGCATAAAGTGCGCTTCTGGACACCGGAAGTCTTTGTTGTCCACGGCAGTGGGTAGACGGAACTTCTTTATAAATGAACTTGGCATCACTAATGATTGACTCATCTTTCAACCAGGCACTTCTTCCAAAATGTATACCCGAAACTTTTCGAAGGGTGATTACGCAGGATTTTGTAATCGTCCCTTTCCAACCATTGAATCATATCTGAAAACAGCTCTGTCGACCTCAAAATATTCTCTCAGTCTGCCACAATTTGTGTTTAGGCGTGAACTCCAAGCCCGATTCGGGAGCAGCTACAAGCGTTCAAAAAACTATCATGTTCCATCGTACTTCAACACCTCATTGAATACGGGCTCACTTCCTAATTACATACATCGTCAGTCATAAGTAGAGCGAGGAGTGATTTTCGCTATCCCAGAAGAGCTCGTATCACGATTTCCGTTTCAAGCCGTACCGCAGCGTTGCGTTCCTCTGACTCTGCCAGAGGATTCGTGATACGCATTGCACTTCTAGCCTTGGGGATAGGATGCCGACACGGCTGCAGTTTATAAGGACAGCAGTTCTTTTCAAGCCCGCAGCTTTATGCCAGGCAAGTCCAATGCATCAAGTTTGGCCTTGAAAACGCAAAAGGCCTCCTAACCAACTGGGTAGCACAGGTCTGCGCAAGCTTCTGCATCTATGTGCGATGCCAGCGTTCGCAATAGATAACGGCGGAGAGCACGGGCCAGGAACTTCTGCGAATCTGGCCTTTGGCCTGCAATTGTCAACTTGCAGATTTTTAAAAATCTCAGTCTTTACGCAAGCATGCTGGACTCCACTAATTAAATCAATATTAGTGCGTGTGAAGTTGCTGACAGCAGGTCATGCGGGCACATTCAGCCAACGGAATATGCCTGAATGGTTTCATCGTGCTAGGTTGCATTACTGCGTGTGCAGCCAAATTGGCACTGTAGTCATGATTCTCCACATATACAACCAACAGGGCACTTGCTGTTTCCTCCAAGAATTAGAAACAGCCAACTCAGCTCCTGAGACTATGTGGCACTGCATGATAGGCAGTCAGCTACACTCTGCATCCGATATTTAGAGTTGCATATTGGGCCGTGTCATCAGCGCGGAGTTCGCGGCTATGACGAAGCACACATTAGAAAATAGGAGCAGCCAGAAAAAGCGTCGCGTGTCAGGATCACTAGTTGCAAACCTTTACTCTGGCAGCCCCTCTTGTTACAATCAACGTCCTCGATTTTGCTTCTGGAGTTCGTTGCAAAGTCACCTTGTTGAACGATAACTCTGCGGGATGTCCTTAGCCACGTTGACATGTTTCTTAAGCATCACGCCTACAGATGGTAAATATTGAAGATGATTCCTGACCACTTAAGCGTGTATCCTATAATAAAGCAGCAGAAGTTCGGAGTTTGTAAGCAGCTGCGCATACTCAAAGCATCCTGGCGAATCATACCAGTCACGGTTGTTTAATAAGAGATTGCAGCTGCCTACTGCAGTGACTTGTAAAACATATTTGCGCACTCCTGATGGCGTATTTGTGTATTTGTCAAGAAGCGTCAATTGAAGCACATCCAAGGCTGCAATACACTTGAACCTTGCCTGCACAAAATGCTATTTTGGATATCTTCACTGCGCAGTAACAGAGAGATACCATGAGATGCCCACACCGTAACTTGTTCCGAAGCTTCAGCACATGCTTTTGCAGCAAGGTACACGCTTGCTTCGCATTGCGAAGGCCCATTCAGTCACTGCCCCATCTTCGTGGACTCATGTACACGCGCACAATTTGTGCAGTACATGATGAAACAGTGCGCCCTGGAGTAGTTCTAGCGCTTGGAGCTTCGATTTGCCGTCGACCCGAATGGCTTATGGATACGAAACTTGAAATATATGCGCTAGCCCAACAGGCAATTGCTTCGAGGCCACACCATACGTGCCCAAGCTGAAAATGAGCCGCACATTATCAACCCAAGTCCGATACTCCACATTGTGATCATCTTTGACCAAGCCCACGGCTGCCCGCAACGAGAGCATATATTCATTTGTAAACGACTACTTGCGTTGTTCGACAGGCGGAAATGTTAGACGTTCTGCCACACCATTGTTTTGTAAGCCCACTTTCACGCCAGCGAATCCTGGCAGTGATCCCGTGCTGCATTCAGCGAGGGGAAATACTTCACAGAGGAACAGCCATAGTTGGAGTGGATCATACGGACGTTCCAAACAGCATCCTTTCAACATAATCGCAGCCTCCTTGCTCGGTTATCTTGGGAAAACAACGCAAAGGGACAGCTGTTGTTCAGTTTACGATGAGAAGAGAGCCAAATCGGAGGCGCACAACATTGGTTGCTGGCAGGCCACTCACAGTATTGCCGGTGCCAGCAAGAACGCGACAACTGCCTTCCATGCAGGACGGTAAAATCTCCACCAGGGATCTTGCCACCTGTTTTACAAGCGAGTGCCGCACTTTATTCATGATGCAGAAAAATGCAAAGTCACACATTCGGAGAGGCGACCAAAGCCTAGCTGCACTTTCGCTTGAGCGCACCATCCCTACAGATGCTTGTGCCCTACAAATGGAGTGTTGGTTTGATTCGAAGCCGAGCCATGCAAGCAACCCACGAGCACTGTTGTTTCGTTGCCAGTTCTGTCCCAATCGTGCCGAAAAATTAGCTTTTTACGCCACTTCAGTCTACGCGAGACCAGGATCTCTTCCGACACTACTTTGACGGCAGATCACGCGACCTTAATTTTAGAAGCAGTTACAGCGCTTTGAAGTAGCAGCATACTATATAGTTTGTCTATCCTGGCTTGAAGAGAGCACACGAAGAGCACATTCAAAATCGAACGATTTACAGAAGGGGAACCACTTGCTGAAAGCGCGCGTGCCGACAATTTCAATAGCAGATTTCCTTGCGAAAACCGCTGTAAATCTCCCATGCTCGTGTCTCACCTGAATCATAGCTGAGGTGCATTCTTCATAGAAACTTCAGCAATCTACTGATTTCAAGAATTCAATAACACGGGCACACCATTGTCCGCAGTCCGTGTACAGCAGGCAGAGCAATAGAGTGATCTCATAGCTCTCCTTGCTGTACACGGGCCGCAGACAATCGTGTGTCAAGTGCTTCAGGTCTTGCTGACCCAGGGTGAAGCTCAGGACCGCGAATGTCTGCTTCCTCAGCTTCCCATGCAGTGTAAAAGCTCTAAAACGATTGGCGTGATTGAAGGCTAACCTACAGTCAACATCGACAGGCGCCTACAGCACCCATTCTGCGCAGGCGTCATGATACATGCACCAACCCACTTCCTGATCCATAAAAAGAGACAGGTGGGTGCAAGTGCAATCTGCCGCGTCTTGATGTCGGCATATCCATCTGCAAGGCAGCTTCACTCTTCATTCGTCACCTTCTCTGCCAAAGCAGCCAGCAGGCTCCAACAAGCTAATCGTCGGTTCTCATTAGTTTGGAACCTAGAAATACGTACTCTCTTAGCCCATGAAACGCCAGTAAGCAAATATTATTCATCGAAGCCCGTCGGCACTTGTCAGGGTGACGTGACTGACATAGCAGCGGCAGACCACAACACCCGATAAACGGCAACTGCCCCTCATGCGCCTCGACAGATCAATGGTTCACAAATTCATTCTCGTGGCCCATTTCACTTCACAAGTTCACTGGAAGATTAGGCAAAATGAGGTGAAAAACTCACGAGCTGCAGGT